ATAAACCCTAAACCTTGATGCAATTGAATGGTTTAGGGTTATCAAAATAGGGTTTTAAGTGAAGGGTAAGATATACAATGATGCAATTGAGCAACTTCGAAGGTTAAATTGATGCGAAAATATAATAGGGGCGAAAATGATAAATTGAGTCAACTGCATAGCAAAACTTACCTTTTTTTTCCTATAAGTTATTATTATTTTATAAAAAAAGGAACAAAAAGTACTAAAAAAATAAAAAATAGTTTAGTATTAATAAGAACAATTTAATAAAACGTGATTTCATCAACCAAATTTTTTTTTTTGGATAAATTAATTTTATTACCCAAAGAAAGCAGTAATTGCTACAGAAACCGATCACAAAAATATATGTACAGTCAACTTACAACAAGAAAAGATTGGTTTAATCAATACCCCAAGAGTTACAAAGGAAATAGTTAATATTATCATTCCTATTAATAGTTTCCCCCCTTAATTTGATTGCAACAACTTCTTTGATGCAAATGAAGAGATCTTCATCAGTTCTTGATTGGTTTTGAAAAATTCTTCGATTGCGTTCCTCCCACATAACATAGATTGAAGCACACCAAGCAATTTTTAGAATAGTTACAATGAGAGACTTGTCTTTCCAGGTGTTTGTAGCTCAAATAACCATGTCTTCCCAAGCTGAAACATATTTCTTTATCCCATTATGTGAAAGTATTGCTTCCCATAGATAAGAAGCAGTTGAACAATCGAAGAACAAATGAGAACGAGTTTCCATTGATGAATTATAGAGAGTGCAGTCCACAGAAGTAGTAATCCCCATACGTTGAAGTCGTTCTCGAGTAGGAAGTCGATCTTGGAGAGCCATCCAAGCAATAATGATGTGCTTCGGAATATGAAGTGAGAACCAAATCAAGGATTTCCAAGAAGCTTTTCCCCCACTAATTCTGATTTCTTTTCAGATTTCTCTTATGGTAGAGGTTCTGTTTGAAATGGCAGGAAGAGCTTCATCACGTAGCTTGAGCAATCTATTGAAGCTCCAACTGAATTTCGAGCCTCCCTCAATATGCCAGAAATTGCACTCCTTTAAAACATTGTTGTTAATCCAAGCAACCCATAACAAACCTTCTCCAGCAATAATGTTTTTGATAAGTTTGATCATGCAAGCTCGGTTCCAGCTTTTAAGATTTTTCAGGCCCAGACCACCCTCGGATTTAACCTGACAGATTTTGTCCCAACTGACTCTCGCACCAGTAGCTACTGAATCAGTTCCTTTCACCCCATTATCTTGTATTTCCATTATCTTATTGTGAAACTTAATTTTACACTCTTTAAATTGAATACATCTTAAAAATCAAAAGAAATATTTTCATAGCTCTATTTAACAAAATTCTTTTATGCCCTTTGTCCTAATTTTAAGAATTAAACCTCGAATTAATTTAAATCTAATTAATATTCATGTGACTATTTGCATATATGAAATCAATTACTCACATTATTGCTACCTTGAAAATTACACTTTTCAAAATGATATTAAATTATAATTTAGTTAATATGTTTATATATGACAATTAAAATTATGAAGTTTAGTATATGTTGAGACTACATAAACAAATAAATTTTCTTTTGGGGGTTTAGTATATAGTTGAAGGTAAAACCTATAATATCATTTTAAGGTAAACTCGAGATATAATTGAGAATCAGTTTACGACACTTGTAAACGTCCAAGGAAGCATCCCCTTAAATCAATCATATTTGCCTTAAATGTCCAAAAAAATCATTATGAAATAATGCACTTATATTTTAAAACTTTACCCTAATTAAAGCCCCAAAACAAGTGACAGTGTTTTTTGGCGGGAAAAAGATTCCCCATAGAATCGTCGTGTTTGTTATTTTATATAATAATATAATATTTTGGACAAAAGTTTATAGAATTAATTGAGGATGATGTAATGACTATTAATAATCGTGCATTAAAAAACAACCCTCTAAATTTTGTATCGATTGTATTTACGGCTACACAGAGTTCGAGACCGCTGTATCCTCTTAATTTGTATACGTAATTCATGAATTTTGGATATACTGGTTTAATTATATAGTGCATGGAAGTTTAATTATATTGAGTACCATATTTAATATTAATTTTATTTTAAATAAAAAATATGATAGACTGGTTTTTTTTTTTTCGTTTCAGTGAAATTTTGGTAAATACAAATTTTAATTCCTTAAGTTTAGGTGAAATATATTGAATTTCATAACATTCGTATAGTTTTTTTAATTAAAACATTTGTATAGTTTAATTTCATAAAACAACATAAAATTCAATGTAAAGTTGGACTTAAAATAAAAATAAATTAAAATTCAATTATTAATAATATTATTAGAATAATATTATAAAATAATAAATTTAAATATATTTAAGAGCAGGAACAATCCTCAGTTTAATATTTACATATAATATTTTGATTTTAAAAAATACTATCAATCGGTCAATCTTCAGCTTCTTAAAACGGATATACTTATACACAATGTAGGGAGAATATACTTATACAATCGGTTAGAAAAACTAATTTAAAATTATAATTTATAAAATTTTAAATCAAACGATTTGAATGAAAATTCTATAATGGATGCCAAAATTGATATTCACCAATACTTTTATAAGGTAAAATTTACAAGTGGACATTAAATTATATCAAAACGATATTTTTAGATACCAAACTTTCAAAAATTATATAATGGACATTAGTCTTTAGATTTTGTTACAAAATGGCCACAGCAATATTATCTATTATTAAAGATGTGACGTGAAATGCTAAATTAATAAAAAAAATATCTCATTTAACCCTTTAATTTAATTAAACTTTTATTTTACTATTAAGTTTAATTAAAATATTGTTTATTATGTTCATTGATTTAAAATATATATATAAATAAATAAAATATTATTTGTAGTGTAACATAATAATGTAAGATTCTATCATACATTAATAAAGATATCATCATTAGAAAAAAAATTAAAATATTAGAAAATAAAAAGAAATAAAAGAAATAAAAAATAATAATAAACTAATATGATCAAATTCTTAACTTTTTTTTTTATTTGTTTATTTTTATTAGATCCTTAACTATTTTTTTTATTCTATCACGAGATAACTTTTCTGTTTTTTAAGTAAATAAAATTAAAATTTGAATATTAATTTAAAAATAAAATGTTTTAAACATAAATTTAAAAACTATCTTTAAATGACAAATGTATATTCTATTTTCTGAAAGACAAATGCATATTTTAAACGAACGACCAAACCCAAATGGCGTTGCTCCTTCAGTCGGTGGGTGGTTGGCTGCCTCTGTATTGTCTTTTGCTTCCATTGGAGAAACATTAACCTCATCACACATTAAAAAAGGGAATAAAATTTGCCGTGTTCTCCCTTCTGTTTTTAAGACAGCAATTTAACTGCTGAGTTTGTTTAAAGTCTATAAGCAGCTCTTATAATATAAAAGAATATTTTAATTCATCCATTATTGAAGAGATATTATATTTTCTATTTTGTATATTTACAGTTGTCATATTGTGTCCGTATCTCTCTCGTAGTTAAAGTTTTGAGAGATCATATTCAAACACAAAATTTCAGACGTTTTATATCTTTCAGAAAATTACAATCTTAACACGATTTTTCACATACTCACATAATTTATCATAGTTAAAATCAATTGTTAGCTAGTCGAATCTATTAAGAATGTCAACATATAAACAATCATCACGATCTTAAGTTCAACGCGAATACTAGGGTTCACTATAAAACTCTTAACTAAGATCGAGAGAAGATTCTTAAACCACTTCTCACTTCTTTTTCCTCTTCTCTTTATTGGTGTTTCAATATCAAATAATTTATTATAGAGACATTTTTATTAGTTTATGATAAACATAAGATAATATATATTTAAAATACTCTTAACTATTTGTTAATTAACGCACATACACCTTGCAGAAATTATACTCAAACTCGAAACTTTAAGAAATAACAATAATCTCTTAACTTATGAAATTGTTTAATTTATTCCGTATTTCTTTTCCATCAATCAAGAACTACGACATCGCTAGTTATTAACGGTCAAATTCCATTTGACGTTTTCATTGGAGATGAAGCATCCAGGTCAGAAAAATAATTCATGGATGTTGCTTGTATTTGGTTCATCGGATGTCAATGCTAGACTAGGAACGAAATAAGATGAGGTTTGGGTACTACTTTAGAGAGATTTAAAAAATAATATTCACCTTAGATTCTCGTGAAGTTTATAATAAAAAATAATTATCCTGTCATTTTTAATTAATCAAATAATTATTTTATAATTTTTTATTAATTAAATGATTATTTTATATTTTTTATAAAAATATTTTAGAATCTAATGACTATCTAAATATTTTAGAATCTAATGACTATCTAAATAATTTATCCTTTATTTTTATAGAATGTATTTAAAATTTCGATTATTTATGTAAATTATTATTATATTGCATATGCAATATTTTTCTTAATTATTTAGAAGGTCCCAACAATCATATATTGGCTCCACCACCACTCTTAAGTTAAATTTTAGGGCAAATTAAAATTTAATATTTTAATTATGATTTTTGTTTAATTTTGGTTATCTAATTATTCTTTTAAATTTATATATAACATTATGTTTTGATTTTATTTTAGTCACGAACCATTAAAAAAATCAATAAAATTGTTGTTGTAATATTTTTGTACTTTTTTCAATGATAATATTATATTATCTTATAATGAAACATTAACATCATTATTAATTTTGACTAAAATGAAATCAAAATTAAATGTTAAATATAATTTAAAAAATAATTAAATAACAATTAAAATATTAAACGTATTTACTATAAATTTTACATATCTTGCTTTCCCTTAAACATTCACATCATTTGATTTAAAAATATGTGAAAAGGGCCAATGGGGCCGCCAGACTAGCCAATCCAAATATCATTTGATTGAGGGAAACTTAAGAAAATTGCAGCGTTTCCCTTAACCCCAAATCCTAATATTTGGTCTCTGTCCCTCCCTCTCTCTTCTCCCTCTCCTTTTCACTATCAGATTAAAAAAAAATGGTCCCTCCATTTTTCTCCGGTTTTTGAAGAAGAAATCCCCATCCTTTTTTTATTTTCTTATATTCCCACGTTTTGATTATACAAACTCCTTTGGTGACAACATTAAAACTCCATATTTCTCACTGAAAAAATATTGCGGGGAAAAAAAGGTTCCATGAAGAAATCTAAGATATCAGGTGACATAGCAGTGATGGGAGTTTCTCATCAGTCGACAATGGGGTCCCGTACCAGAGCTGCCAAGACTCTAGCTTTGCAAAGACTTTCGAAAACAACAACACCTTCTGGTTCGCCGGCAGCCGGTGTCGGTTTAAACTCGGACGTGTCTTCGTTTTCTTATCTTCAGCTGAGGAGTCGTAGGCTTGAGAAGTTAGTTTACCCTGTTTCGAACAAAACGAAACAGAGACAAGAGGGGAAGGAAAGTGGTTTCCGAGAAGGGGACAAGAAGAGTGAAGGGTGTTTTGGGAACATGGAGATTGTTGTCGGGGTGGGGATTTGCTGTGGAACAACAGAGGAGGCTTGTTTTGGCGGAGAACTCAGAGACAGGTCTGGTTTTCTTCTTCTCTTGATGTTTCCTTAAAAAAAGGTTGTTTTTTTGTTCTTTATATTTGTTTTTAACACTTGGGAGCTTTTCCAGCATTGTTTTGACTTTTGTTCTTTTGAAGAAAAAAAATCCCTCATTTTTTGAGCTTACACGAGTTTTCTTCCATCGTTTCCTATGTTTGACGCTTTAAATGATGATTATGGTTCTCTTTGTTGCACGTTCTACTATTTTGCTTACCTTTTAAGAATAGGATACCTTCAATACTAAAAATACTTGACAAAAACATGTTCGTTCTCTGGGTTTGCTTTTGATTATGAACATTAGGTGCAACGTTTAGTTTTCTATATGGGTAATTGACAATACATGGTACAAAGAGAAGAAGAAGAAGAAACCATTTTGTTTGATCTTCCGGATTGCCCTTTGTTTGCTTGTGTTTTCTCTGCTAATAATGTAAGTGTAAGAAACAAATAAAAATCTTTTGGCAATATTGAACAGCAACCTGTCTTGTTTTTGGTAGTTTATGTTTACTTCTTAGTATCATATCTCTGTATTCAAAGGACTTTAAAAAGATAGGATATAGCTTAGGTGTTAGCAATGATATATCAATTCACGGGGCCTGTTTACAGACATGAATGTGGGATTCTCTGTGTTGCAGCAATAAGTGACAAAAAGGTGGCAAACTCGTTGCTTCTTAGCCTATTGTTTTTACTCTGCTCCCTGCCAAACTTAAAGCTTGTCTCTTCATTATATGAGGGCTTTGTTCCATTTTAATGAGAATGTTAACTTTGTTTTGGTTTATAATTCAGTAGTAATTTGTTTTTGCTGAGATGATTTGTACATCTTGTATGCAGGAGCACTAGAGAAAGCTCGTCATGTGGTTTGATAAAGGACTTCGAGACCATTGTAGCTCCAAGTTTGACTCACCAGAGAGGGCAAGGGAACGACGCGCAGAGATCCATCCCGGCAGCGCAAGAACTGGAGGATTTTTTGCCTGTGCAGAACAACAACAGCAGCGGCAATTCATCAAGAAGTAAGTTCGTTTTTGGAGTTTGTTTTAGTCATCTAATGTTTGCAGCCAACTCGAGTCTTTTGAACATGCATGCCGGATTCCTGCAGGTATAACTTTGATGTTGTGAATGATTTGCCTCTTCCGGGACGTTATGAGTGGATGAAAATGATCCCATAAGCCAAGACCACCATTGATGCCGAGTTGATGTAAAGATTGATTGAGCCTTGACAAAGATGTGTAATTTAAAGATCTGTAACATAACAGAGCTGATGAATTACACTAACCCCAAATCACAAACCTCAAATCAAATGTTCAAAAACAAAAAGATTAGTCTGCTAGGAATTTGGTGTTCCCCCCCCCATCATTGTAACTGGTTTAGGAGTACATTTATGATCAATGTTTCTGGTTTTTCATTTTCCTGTTTCTTTCACTTGGTCTATATTCTCGTAGGGGTGGGCTTGGCCTGGATGATCTATGGAAATAAACGCAAGTCATTTGTCATTTCTATAACTTGTCGTTTCCCATGTTTTTGTTTTTAACAATATCCACGAGTAACTCACGTGCAATTTGGATTCAAGTTTGCTATTCAATGCATCCCCACCAACAAGATTACAATTCAAACACACAAAAGAAATCAAAATTGTCTTTGCTGAACCTGCTCCCATTCAATGTTGCAAGGACGATTGAACAGGCAAGGTTAAACTTCTTATACAAAGAACCATACATTTTTTAATATCGTTTTCAATCATTATGTCCCAGAAAATGGACTTTAAATTCTCTTTCAACCCAATTTGTTGATATGCCCCGCATTTATTTGTTTGCTTCAACCTCTTGTTTTCTCTCTTAAACTTTGTGGGTGTAGCACTAAAGCTGCTGAGTTTGTCAACTGAGTCAGGCATTAATTGAGTGGTACATCAATGGCAGAAGGAAGAAGACCTTTGTTGTTTGAGTGAGTGTGCCCCTATTCACATGGGACACTGTACGTTTTTTTTATAATTATTTTTCTATTTTACAGAGTTTCAGTGTAACGGATTTCTCTAACATCTTTAACCTTAGATTTGATGTCTTGTGTTAGGCTAGCTGGTGAAGCAAATTTCATGGTTTTTGTTTGTCTGCTCTGAACTTTCTTTTCCTTTTCAGTTGGCAAACAAAAATGAAACAAGACAATAGTTTCAAGCAATTGCCAGTCCTGATTTGCAGACATGTTATCCTTAATTAACGGATTTGATGTAATAAAATTGTGGTTTGACATGAAAATCCTTGAATCCAGAAAGACAAAATTTGAATTCGAATAATTGCTTAAGAAATCGTATACTACTATTTGACATTGACGTAAGCCTGAAGAAAGTATCATTGACAGTAACGGTAGATTTGAGGGTCTATGGGATGACTTAAAATCCAAAAGAAAAAAAAGTCTGAAAACATCTGATTCAGAGCTCCTTTTTCGTGACCGACAGGCAATGGCATATATTAATATTATATATATAATATGTATATATGCATGCATGATAAGAGACCAGCAGGCACCGGCAAATTAATGTTGGAGCGGTGAAAAGATCATAAGCATGAAAGCCTATATGCTTACTGGATGGTGGAACAGTTCTTAACACCATGCTACTGAACCCAGCTGCCAGCATGGTTCGACTCGGTGGGCTCGTTAACTCGGAAACAGTTCTTTAACACCAGAAGACCAGTGTTTACAGTTTGATAATTTCCTGTTTCTTTTTTGCAAAAAAACAAACTCGACTACTGTGTTTAGGTATCAGGGCTATTTATTCTGATAATCTGCCTACATGCAGATGGATAAACCAATAATTGAAGTTGCCTCAGTTGCAGAATTCTTCACAATGCTATATATATTCAGTAAAATGGTTTTATATTATGAATCAGTAGGCAACGAAATCAAGGCAAAAACTCATGATTAGTGCAATGAAAATAAAAAGAAATGATTACTTTGCAAGTAATTTGGTTATCTTTGTAGATCTTGGATCATGATTAGTGCTGGCCCCAACTTGTGAGATAGACCCAAAAATCTTCACATGGAAAAGGGAATACTGGTAATCACTGAAAAGGTTCTTCCGCTGCTGCTGTCAAGGCATGTACAGCAACAAAAGATTCACTCCACGGCGAACTACTTTTCCATTTCTAAAACGATTTGGGCTACTATTTACTATTACTTCACAATCCTTTTTGTTCAAACTTTTCATTTTGCATAAAATATTTATTTCGGTATATGTTCATTTAGTATCGAATACTGTCGATCGAGTTTTTCAAATTAGTCCAGAAAAGGGGTTCAACTTTTATGCAGATGTAAACTACCAAAGAAAAAGGGGAGTTGGAGCAGCGGCAAAGCAGCAACGGATGTTTGGGCCCAGTACTGGTAGTTAATTTTACCAGGGAACTAGCAGATTTCTTTAAGTGGTGACACAAAGAAGAGATGTTAAAAAGTGGGTGGTCAAAATGTATAAAATTTAACCAGCAGAATCAATCAAGGAGTGTGACACAGACATAATAGAATTGTTAGTAATCATGGAGGTAAATGGGGCCATTACAGGCGTTCTAGTTCCTTCCTTTCAGTTTCAAACAATAAAAACCTGGGGAGTTTTCATCTATATGTTTGTGGACTTATACTTGTGACTGATGGGCCGTGATATTGTCTTGCAAGATAATATGTTTTTCGATGCGAGTTATACAGTGTATCAACTTATTTACGACGGTTTGATCCAAATGTAAAACGACACACCAGTTACCAGAATGACTGATGATAATTTTCAGATCAAGATACATCAAATCATTTAAATTTAAGTTAATACTCAACTAATAAAAAAATTAATACACGGTATCATACTTAATCATGTAAGATTTCACCAAAGTGAGCCCATTTTATAATCCCAACATTCAAATATAGGTCACATACAATTGGCATGCAATGACATGCTTAAAATAAGTCAAAATACGAAATTGGATTTTTGAGTATCGATATTATTCGAACTTTTTAGTGTACTAAAGTAGTATTAGTATCCAATCAAACAATACCAACAAAAGTATTTGTATGGTATTAATACAGGACTATCCAATATCGCTACATGCTATCAGATTTGCAGATTGTAAACACTATTAAATCTAAAATCTACCCAAAATCAACAACCCTAATAAAACTAACATGCGACGAACATAATCCAACATATCATAGGTTGAAACATGCCAAATCATCAACTTAACATATTGTAACATAGAGTCTGCGTCATTTGACTTATCTACCATGGATAGACCTAAGATTTTGTATTAGAGAGATAAAACTTCTAAAATTTTAAGGGATTGAAAACATATTTCAACAAAAAATATTTCTTTTAAATATATAATAATTTAAAATTTTAGATGAAGATTGCTTCAACTACCCCTTTGGTCCATTTCTCGTACTTACTTGTGGAGCATACAAAATATCATGCATATCCAGTGGCATATGTAAGTTTTGCCTTGAGCGGGTATTAGAATTTTAATTTCTTTATATTGGTAGTTCATTTTATTGAAGGTGTTCACCCTAAAATTTCATTTGTGTCTACCGTACAAAAAAGTATGTTATTAATATATATGTATCCCTTGAAAAATATTTCTAGATCCAGCAGAGTCACACAACTTACATACCGCATTGTATTCTAAGGCATTTCCCACCAACCTATCGACTTATTAAACACATAATAATCATTTTAAAACAACCTAAAACTTACAAATACGAAATTAAACAAATTATCGAATGATCTTGTTCTGACACAAAGCTGCACTGTTAACTATCAACATGCATACATCAACAACATGTTTACTAAATGTCTAATCATCAAACCAACTAAAAACAATAGCATCATACAAGAAATTTCAAAGTAATAGAAAAAATGTATACCTGGCATAGTAGCCACCTATAACGAAATTCGACATTTTTTTCCCGATAAATTGACAAAATTGGGAAATTTTATTACCATTATCCAATAACCCAAATTCATGAAACATTGTTGGGTACCAATGATGCCAGATAATAATGTTATCTTAGAAACACGGGTTTACAAACACAAACGCATGCCGAATAGTAATGATGGGGGTCGTCATTGATCAATACCTTCCTGGTTGAGTCAAATTTATTTTTGATTTTATTATCATAATATTTGTTTGAGTTAGTTCGGCTTAAAATTTTAACAAGCCAAATAAATTTTGTTTATAAAATTGGATTATATTTTTATAAATCTTTTATTTTTTTCTATTAATAAAATTCCGTTTTAAAAATTATTAATAAATCAATTTTGGACGTAGAAACCACTTATAAAGATTTTAAATATGACTTAAAAAACTAGGCTCAAATATGATTCACTTTAATTGATTCCATTTTTTTCATGTACGATCGATAATATAAATTTTAATCAGATTTTGCTCGGCCTAACTCGTTTTTGTTGCGTAAGACGGCTATCGGATGAGCAAAAGCAACTGATAATTTGAGAAAATAAAAATGAAGATAAAGAGACACAAAATTTATGTGGAAAACCCCTAAAAATTTAGGGTAAAACCACGGGCAACGGTAGAATTTCACTATGAGAAATAGATTACAACTTCTCTCTATCGACCAAGGAGAAAACAATGATAATTCTCTCTTGATAAAAAAAGGAGAAAAACAACTCTCAAGAAACTCTCTAAATTCTCTCTAGTATTGGAAGAAAGCTAGAATGCTTTTGGGATGGTTTTGAAGCTAACTGAGCTAGGATATTTATAGTTGAAATCTAAGGACTAATTTGTAAATACCCTAAAATTTAGTGACTAAATTGAATATCCCATTTTTATATTTTCAACAAAAGGGGCCATGCACCTTTCGGTGCATTAATTTAGGCACCTTTCGGTGCTAGTCAACAATCTCCCACTTGAAGATTTGATTGGAACAATCATATCTTCACACCATTCTTTCTACCTTGTACCATCATGTTGCTTATGTTTCTGTCAGGCCACAAGAGGATCGACACCAGCTAAATTTATCAGCGTTGATTGCCTTCGTCATGAAATCTGCTATATTGTCTTTGGTATGGATCTTCTGCATATCTACTGTCCCTTCTTCCACCTTTTCACGAATGAATGGTATTGAACTCGTATGTGCTTGTCCTTGAATGAATGCTGGATTTCTTGCTAGATGCAAGGCACTTTGACTGTCACAAAACAGAGAGACAAACTCTTGATTGTGCCCAAGCTCCTCCAATAGCATTTTCAACCAAATTGCTTCTTTACTGGCTTGTGTAGCTGCTACATATTCTGCCTGTTGTGGATGTAGCCACAA